GTTGTTGGGGTGGTCCCCACCACATAATCATAATTGCTTTAGGATATGGATGCGGTTCGGTTCCCATCCGGGGACTGTCTTTTCCAGCTGTTCCAATTACTCGCCGATTCATCGTCCCGAGGTAGCAATCGACCGTCTTTCGTGTTATTTGGGTTTAATTAATGTAGTATGTACGTCTACTTGTTCTTCTAAATAAACAAAAAAAAATCTTTTAAAATAAATAAATTTAGTTATTCTTCTACCTCCATGTATTTTAAAAGTCATAATTTCCTCTACTTGCTGTAATTTATTAATTGATTTATTTAATAGTTTCTACCTTTGAGTGTATATTAAATATACGTCTAAAAAAAATTAAATATTAAGTATATTAAATATAGTGTTAAAATATTATTTTTTATCTTTGAAAAAGTGAACATTTATTATAATTTAATCTAATTTGTTCTATAAAAACGAACATTTTTATTCCTTGATTATATTTTAATCTAATTTGTTCTATCATAACTTCAACACGACATTACACTTAATATATGTCTTAAAATGTAGCTCCAACTTAATATTAAAGAGTTTTTGTTAAAGATAGAGTTTGTGTTAAATTTTTACAAATATGAAAAAAATCATAACAAATGGTTGAACTAAACAAAAAAAATTAATATTTTAAAAGTACACAAATGGTTTGAGTTCAATTTTTATTTAATTTCCTTGATTTAAAAGTTGTGGTTTAATCTCAATATATACATCACAAACAAAAATAACTCCTTTAATTTGAGATCAATTTTAAATTAATGTTTTAATTTTCAAACTTTCAATTTAGTCCACATGGTGTGTTTGAATCTCACAATTATATCACAAAGACAAAGTTGAAGGTATTATAATCTTAGATAATAATGATTTAGATTTGAACTCACAATATTTTGTTTAGAGACAAGTATTTTAACTAATTGAACTATGTTCATATTATCAAAATAATAAAAATTTAAAAAGTTATTAGTTTTCTAGTACAACAAAAATGTAGCATTAAGATACTTTAACAATTGAATTATGCTTACATTTATAGTGTATTAACCCATTTAAAATGTACTCAAACTAACAAATTTAATATATTATTTAAGCCATGGTTCCAAATGGATTCAATGTTCAGCTATTTTAGTCTTCCTTTTTTGGACATTACCCATATTTAAATGTGAAAGGGAATATACGACTTTGGTTAGGTGCTTTGAAATATTCCAAACTTTACTTTGGACCATTTGAAAGGGTCAGGTTACTTACCAATACCATCAACTACAAAACTTGTGATGATTTAAAATACTAGTGCAACAAGTCTAATTGGCATAGATTAGACTTTCTATTACTTTTTTTCTCTCTGGCCTAATTAACAATGATCGAGACAAGAATTAAAATAAAGATTTTTTTTTAGTTCAACAATTTGTGAGGACGGGAATTTAAACATCTAAATCTTTTTTAGTACAATATATAGGGATAAGAATTTAAACTTATAACTTTTTGTCAGAGATAAATGTCTTAACTCGTTGAAATATGTTTAGGTTGGTTGAACCTCTAAACTTTTCATCGATATAATATGTATTTTAACCAATTGAAATACGTTTAGGCTGGCTTAAGAATTGTTATTGAAACTTTAATTATTACTTTTTTTAGAAAAGAGAAAATGCCATTTAACTGTTGGGGGGTGATTTTAATATTATTCTTGATGCATAGCAATAAAGAGTAATTTGCAAAACACAAAAAAGAGAGAGAAAAATAAGGATGGAAAAGAAAAATAAAGTAAAAGGGGGTGAGTAGACATTTGAGCTTTAATGCTCCTACAAGGAAAAAAAAAGGAAAAAATAAATAGAAAAATGAAAGAGAAAACTTCTTTATAAGAGAGAGAGATTATTAGGGAATAAAGAGGGAACAAATCTATGGAGCTTTAATGAGAGGTGGGGACAAGTCAGAAGTGAAATGCAAGGAAGCAAATAATGCTCTCTTGTCTCCTATGCACCTTTATTTTTCTATTATTTTTCTTATTTTTTATTATAATATATAAAAAAATAAAAAAATAAAAATATATGGTCCCATTGGGAATTGGTTGTGTGGAAGCATAAATCAAATGGGAAGAGAGAGATTGACTTATTTGATTTAAGAGATTGACTTAGTAAGGAGAGATAAAAAGAAAAAGATAGACGATGGTCACAAAAATTACTTTATCAAAGTAAATTTTTAAAAATATGTAGATAATAGTAAATAAGTAAAAATAGTAAATTTGAAATTTGAATGATATCAAATGTACTATTCAGTTATTAATATCTGTCTTATATTGGTACGCTACTAATTAAAGATTGATATATAGAAAGTAATATAGTAAACTAGATAATTAAATACTAGTACATCGAGGAAAAATGATCATGATTTAAAATCACTATAAAATATCCATGTGTTTTTAAATTCAATAGCAAAAAGCTATCCATTACAAATTTCAATAAAGTAAAGTAAAGTTGATGTTTCGTGGAAAGAATCATATCAACTTTACGTGTTTTCGATATTTATTCTCTATCTCAAATTGGGAGCATTGATATGTATATGTTTGTGTGTTACCGTGAAGCAAATGGTGTCACTATTAGAAATTTGTACCAAAATAATACAAGTATGAATATAATTATCTAAACTAACAGTTCAAATTTCTAAACTTCATCTTACGTCTTGTTGAACTAAAAATACTCAAGATCAAATAGATAAATTTAACTCCATCATAGTTTTCACAAAAAAATAATAATTGAAATCTTTTTTTTTAGATAATTGAAATCTTTTTTATACATAAAACAATTAGCATTTGAAAAAAAAATCGTGTATACCGAAAGTCAACATTCCAAAATCTAGGTCAACCGTTAGAGTTTCCTTGAATGTGAGAGGAAGGAGTGAGTGAGGTGGACTCAAAACAATATATTTTACTTTTAAATTAAAATACTATTTTGTTGGTTTTTATTTATTTTAGTTATTATATTATTAAAATATTCATTTCAATTGGTGCACTGTATATTTAAGTTCATTTTAGTTATTATATTTTTAAAATATTCATTTTAATTATTATATTTTAAAAAATATTTATTTTACTCTTAATTTTATTTTTCTATCACAATTTTAATAACTCATTATATTATCTAAAATGTAATCATTATGTTATATGTGTTAAAATTTTACAAATAAAGACTCAAATATCACTTTTCAAAAAGTACAAAAATTAAAATAAATACTTTTAAAATATAAGAACTAAGATGAATTAAATTAAAAATATAGAAACTAACATAAATCAATATTGACGATATTGTGATAAAAATAGTATTTTAATAATAAAAATAAGAAGAAAAAAATCTGCTTCCCCGAAGTCTCCTCCACACACGAGAGAGGAGAGAGATAGGATTTAATTAAATTTGGTAAATTTGAAAGACAAGAAATGTTTTAATAATTGAAAAAATAAATAAAAATAGGGGAGTTGAATGTGACGTGTCAAAAGATGCCCTAAAAAGTCTCGTGGGAAAGTCACATGCGCCCTCCTTTGTACGTTGATTACGTGTCTTCAAATGGGAGGCCGCGACGAAGCTTCGTTTATTGATTAAATTATTTATTACTTAACAAAACAAGACGTTCCTATTATTAATAAAACCGTGTAATTATTTGATCAAATATAATTTAAAATATGTGTCAAGCATATATATACATTTAAATTATGTCTTATGATCAAGTTATTATATATCCATCATCATGTCGATATTTTCATCAACGTTTCACGTATTTATGAGTTTAATATCAATATGTAGGTTAATGTAGTATTGTAAAAAAATTGACAAAATATAAAAACTATCAAAAAAGTATCACCAACGTAGACGTAATATTAATATTAATCATTTTAAACTTATTTAGAAAATATGAAAGGCTTGTTTGTTAATCTAAATAAATTTTACAATTTTTTTTTATTTTTATAATCTTTCTAAAAATATTCTATCAACATAGATA